GTAGGTTGTGATCTACTTTATCAAATGCCTTACTGAAGTCCAAGTAAATTATGTCCACAGCATTCCTCTGATCCACTAATTTTGTCACTTGGTCAAAGAATGCAATAAGATTTGTCTGGCATGATCTATTTTTGACAAACCCATGTTGGCTTTTAGTAATGACTTTGTTTGCCTCTAGGTGTTCGTTGATTCGTTGTTTGATTATCTTTTCCAGGATCTTCCCAGGTATTGAGGTCAGGCTGATAGGTCTGTAATTTCCTGGATCCATTTTTTTTCCTTTTTTGAGGATGGGAACTACATCAGCTCTTTTCCAGTCCTCTGGTAGTTCCCCTGTGTTCCAGGATCTTTGAAAAATATAGTTCAGTGGCTCCGATATCACATCTGCCAGTTCCTTGAGAACTCTGGGGTGTAATCCATCTGGTCCTGGCGATTTGAACTCATCTAGGCTGGACAGGTGCTCCCTAACCATTTTCTTGCCTATCTTAACTTGTGTTTCTGTTTTGTTTTTTATGGCACTATTTTTGATAGGTTGGTCTGTTTTTTCCCTTTGTGTAAAGACAGATGCAAAAAATGAGTTAAATAGTTCTGCTTTCTCCCTGTTGCTTGTCACCTTCTTGCCACTTCCACCCACTAATGGACCAATCATTTCCTTCACTTTTTTCTTGTTTTTTACATGTTGAAAGAAGCTTTTTTTGTTATTTTTGACTTTGGTCGCAAGCCTTAGTTCATTTTGAGCCTTGGCTTTCTTCACTTCATCTTTGCAGGCTCGGGCTATTTGCTGATATTCTGACTTAGTTATGTTCCCCTCTTTCCACTTTCTATACTTGTCCTTTTTATCTTTCAATTTGTCAGAGAGTTCTTTATGCAGCCATGCTGGTTTCTTTTGAGAGCTGTTATTTTTCCTCTTTGTTGGTATTGTGCTAGACTGTGCTTTTATTATCTCATTTTTCAAAATTTCCCAAGCTTCTTGAGTTGTTTTCCCCTTGAGGATTCTCATCCATGGAATCCTTCCCAAGCCCTCTCTAAGTTTATTGAAATTAGTTCTCTTGAAGTACAAGACTCTAGTTTGACTGTGTTCTATTGGTTGTGCTTCTATAATGTTGAATTCTAATATTGCATGATCACTTCCTCCCAGGGTTCCTATGGCTTCAACACCGTCTATCATTTCATCTCTGTTAGTGAGAATTAGATCCAAAATGGCTAATCCCCTAGTTCCCTTCTCTACTTTTTGGGAGACAAAGTTGTCTGCTAGGTTTGCCAGGAACCTGTTTGATCTTCCACTTGGTGCGGAGTTTGTCTCCCAGTTGATGTCAGGGTAGTTAAAGTCCCCCATTACTATTGTGATGTGCTTCCTACATACCTTAGTTAGCTGACTAGCAAAAAGTTCATCTATTTCCTCTGTTTGGTTGGGTGGTCTGTAGTATACACCTATGGCAATGTCATTTCCCCCCCCTTTTATATTGACCCAAATGCATTCAAGACAGTTTTTATCATTGTTGTACTCTATTTCTGTGGAGATGTAGTTATTTCTTATATAGAGAGCAACTCCACCTCCTCTTTTATTTGGTCTGTTTCTTTTAAATAATTTAAATCCCTCTAGCTGTGTGTTCCATGTGTGGGTTTCATCCCACCATGTTTCCGTAATGGCAACAATATCGTATCTGCCCTCATTAACCTGAATTTCTAGTTCACCCTGTTTGCTGTTCATACTCTGTGCATTGGTGTATAAACATTTGAGTCCTTTGTGGGTGGCCCTGTGTTTCCTTTCTACATAACCTGTGTGGTGCCTGAGTTCCCCTATTGTCTTACCACCTATTTGGTTAGTGCACTTTATGTGGCACTCGCTATTAGAGGCTTCATTTTGATTGATAGCAAGGTTGGTATTCTTGTCCACACACACATCTATGCTACATGCACTGATAGCCCTATAGTTTTTAAATTGCCGGGACAGGGTTGTTCCGTATCAATTAACTCCCTGTCCCCGCTGTTTAGTTTAAATTTCCCTCCAGAAAATCTGTGAATTTATAGCCGAGTAACTCAGTCCCTTTTTTTGATGGATGCAAACCATCTCTTTTGTACATCTTTTGATTGGACCAGCTACTGACATCGTGACTAATATATCCAAAGCCTTCCCCTTTACACCATTCCTTTAGCCACATATTGAATTGTGCTATGCGCTGGCCTTTTCCGTTTTGCTCCTTATACACTGGTAAAACCTCTGAGAAAGTAAGCCTACAGCCTATTCTGCTAAGTTCCTTCCCCAAGCTCTGGAAATCATTCTGCACAGAGAGTACATCTTTTTGGGACAGATCATTAGTGCCAAGATGTACAATAGCCTCCACATCACAGTCCTTGCTGCCATTCTTGATTATTTTAGAAATACGCTTCTTGTCCCTACTGGCAGTAGCACCTGGAAGACACCTGACCTCTTTCAAAGCCTCTGTGTCCTTTCCTAAATTTACATCCCTTATAATTGAATCATCTACCAGAAGGTAGCTTCTCTTTTTGGGAGCCTTTCTATTCTTGCATGACTGATGTGCAATACCTGATTCACACTTCTCCCTGTCAAAATCTAGTTTTTCATCTCGGACCACAATCCCCTGCTTATTTGAGTTATCTTCACAAATACCTTTACCAGTCTCCTTAATGTCCTTATTAAGGTCAGCAAGGGCACTGTAGCTGTTGTGCAGGGACACAGCGAAAGCTTTGTGTTTATGGTTCACAGCTCTCACCCTGCCAGATCCCACGGTTGTCCATACTGCCCTTTTCCTGCAGGATCTTTGTGGTAAAGGGGGCTGATAGCATGGGGGCTTACTAGAGTAGAGGGGCTGAACTGGACACCTAATTTCTGCCCGAAGAGCACGGATTACAGACCCTAGGTAAATGATCTGTCCTTGTAGGCTAGTGATTTGTTTACAGATAGGACAGTTTCCAAGTTTAAAAAGGGTACTGCGAAAGACAGCTGCAAAGCAGGTGTTGCACTGAACTAAGCCGGACATCTTAGATACAGGGGATGTCAGACACACTTGCCCTGAATGTACTGCTACTGTTTGTGATTTTTAGTTATATAATTATGGATTCTCCCAAAACTTACAGTTTAAGCAGCAGCTGGTGGAATGTAGCACGTTCCAGCAGCCCGACCGGAGTTGGAATGGGGTTTAAATAGAGTATAATACACTATAAATATAATGGAGATCCAATCAGGGCCTCGCTACTTTCCTAGTGGATTCTCCCAAAACTTACAGTTTAAGCAGCAGCTGGTGGAATGTAGCACGTTCCAGCAGCCCGACCGGAGTTGGAATGGGGTTTAAATAGAGTATAATACACTATAAATATAATGGAGATCCAATCAGGGCCTCGCTATTTTCCTGGTGGATTCTCCCAAAACTTACAGACTCTCTTGAATAAAGTCTAATTCTATTGGCTTTCAAAAGCCAATAGGAATTGTCCAGGCTGTCTCTGCCCTGCTGAGCCCGCCAAAAGTCCCATTCTGCAAACGTTGCTGCACCAGTTGAATAGTCCTCGACTTACGACTGGTTGAGTAGTCCTCGACTTACGACCGGTTGGGGGGGGTCGCGGCATTAAAAAGGTTGAGAACCACTGCTGTAGAGGAAACTTTATCTGAATGAGAAGGCAACAACCAGCGATCTTCACAGCATTTTTCTCTTACTCACCTGCTTATTTAGTAATCATATTGTTAAAGACAGAGTCACCAGAATCAATGGAAGTCACAAAATGAGGGCAACCTGTACTAATCTCTATAAACTCATTCATTCCTCACATATGCGAATGGCTGTCATTTACTTCCAGAGAGATAGTCTAATACAGAGGTACCCAACCTTTTGGGCACCAGGGACCGGTTCTGTGGAACCGTTTTTTCCGCAGACTGGAGGGCGCGTAGTTTTATGTGTTGCCTGCATCTCATGGATGGGGCTTTGCGTGTTTGTGCAGACCGGTTGCTGGCATGCCGTGGCCCGGTACTGGTCCACAGACAGGGGGTTGGGACCCCTGGTCTAATAGACCCACTTGGAATCAATGTTCTACACAAGTGGTAATATATTAACTCATCCACGTAAGAACGTCCTAACTGTGCTTCAGGAAAGCCAAGACACCAGGAATGTTACAGTATCCAACAAGGTTTAATTCGCTATGTTGAAAACAAAGTTAGCCCTGGGAGGAGCCCCGCCCCAGTGCTCTAAATACATCGCAGCACCGCGCCCACAGTACACACCCTAATTACCCCCTTATGACGAAACTCCACCCATGCTACACCCAACCACCCCGCCCTGTGATAAAACTCCACCCACACCACACCCAGTCTCTCCGCCGTCCATCCATTAGTACTGTGAATCCTGGCGTTACATTCACACTGTCTCCCTGCCTTCCCGGCATCCAAAACCTGTCAGACCCAGCATCCCAGTCAAAAGCTGTGCCTCATTGCGCCTGCCTAATTCGGCCCCTCCCACTCCATGCAACGCTCTCCACGTTAGGTGGTCACATGGTCCGTTAGCTTGTCACTGTAGAGGCGCCAGCAACAATCTCGTAACAGCGTTGGCGGTGCAGCTCGCAATTCCAACGGGACTGACTGGGAGTTCCTGGATCGCCCGTCGTCTCAATCAACGCCGGATATAGGGATACGGACAGGTAGGTATCACGCTGGGTCTGACAATCCATCCATTCCCACTTTTAGATAGGAATGTAGGCCATTTGGGGAAAAATATTTGGGTTGTTATAAAGGTTAAAACTACTAATAAAATTAGCAATAAATGCTACAGACTCTGAGACTGGATGATATGCATCTACCTTGAAGAGTATGAATGGGTTAAACACTGTTCTTGCTTGTTGAATAATTCACAATATCTGGGTTTCTACAAAAACTAAATGAAAACAAGTATGGCATGTTATGGCTTAATACTATGTATGAATACAGGCAATGTCACTTGAATAAAAGTCCTTGGCCCAAATAGATATAATAAAGAAATATTAATCATTAAGAGTACCTAATTCTGGTGAATTTAAAGGCTGGCCTCTACATTTTTGTTCTGTTTGGCGCAGTTTCTTCATGTTTAGCAGCTGTGTGACTTGCGGCACATCTGCATTTAACTGACAGGCTCGAGGAATCGTATCTCTTGGTCCATCAGCTGTAACAGAAGATTAGTACAATCTGAATAAAACACAGCAAAAAGACTTCACCTTCTCATTCTGACTATCTGAACAAAGAACCAAAACTAATGACAGCACTGGAGATACTTACTAGAACTGTTTTGATTCCTGTATTTATATGATGAAAAGAAACTTGCAGCCATCTCATCTGTTCAATTTCAGTACCCTTTGAAGCCATGATTTCTTTTGGACAAGACTCATTATTTATAGATTAGAAATTAGCAGCACCAGACATCATCTTTACTTTACCTGAAGAGAAGGCTTTAGTTGTTCAATGATGTGCCACAGCTCCCAACATCAAAAAGGATACTGAGACTATTATATCTCAATCTTAATTCTTTCTTTGCCAATAAAAAAACATTTTGATGTTAACTTTTAAAAAAACCAGAGAGGTTCATGTGAAGAACCTGATGCACTAAATAAGTTTTGGGATGAGTGCAGAGAAATGAGGCTGAGAGGAAAGTTTTAGGCCAAAGGGAACTAATTCATGTAAATATATACATGCTTATATAGAGAGAACAGAATGGAATTTAATTGTAGGAGATCCTGCTTTAAAACCTGACTAATATAGCTAACTTATATAAGTAAGTAAACAAGGTAAAACTTCTGAGAGCAGGGAACAAGCTGTAAAACTTCAAATTCAAGGCAACTCGATCAAATCAGTCTTTCAATTTGAAACTTTCAATTTAATTCAAGGCATCAAATCAAATCAGACTCTTCTGAATCCATGTTAAGATTAAATGGACTTTTATACCTGCAAACACACTTTTTTTAATCAAGTCAAATAAATGATCTGAACTGATGATTCAAACTGAAAATTCAAATAAATTCAACTCATGGAAATGCAAATTAAAATCTGATCTTTAACAAGTCACATACTCCAAACAGTGTTAATATGATCATACTGATTACATTAAACTATTTTCCCTTTTCGACAGATTCAAAATTACAGTTCAACAATACATTTTAGAGGGCAATGCCCCTGGCTTTGGGAGGTTGTGTCAGCTATGGAATTGCATACTGTGCACTGTGGGAACAGATAATTAATTTCTATCTTGTTAGAATGGTTGGTCAGGACAATGATCTTAATCTTTTCAGTTGTATAAATCTACAACTAGTCACCAGCTGTGTGTCCTTTTTGGAGAGTCTAATTGTATATGCATGATTGCTTTTAGCCTACTCTTAAAATAATTTATGTCTGCAGATAAGAATTAATTAGATTTCAGGGTAGAGGAATTTCGCAATTAAGAATACTCAGCAATTAGCTGGTCTCACAATTTAGATTGTACAGATTGTTCTGTGATCTCTAAAGCAGTTATGCTATGCATGAAGCTCCTCTTGTAAGTAAGTTCAGTGAGGTCAATATATTTGGAGTACTCAAATACTTTGGCCTAGTTTTTATCTGTTCTATGTTGCTTCTATGCTGTTCCATTTATTAATGTGAAAAACATCAATTGTAGTTCCTTTTAATATCAGAATGAACCCAACATCCTTGGCACTAAAATTATATGAATATGAAGTCTTTGTTCTTTGCTCATTAAATCTAACCCATACAAGTAAATAGTGCAATCTGCTTCATCTACAAAGAATATTTTTAAGCATATAGGGGCTTGTCCTGACCATACAAAACCAGTGTGCTAGAAGCACATGCTATATGACAAGCCGAGAGGAATGCTGATTATCAGTAATGGAGAAGGATATTACTGCAAAGAATCAAGAACTGATTCATGTTGCTGTACATAATTAGTTACATTAAGGGGGGAAAAATCCAAATGGAAAAAGGGGAAGACTCTAGGAATAACTGAGAAATCTGCCAATCATTTTATCAGAAAGCATATCAATGTCCTAGTTTAATAACAAGTGATAAAACTGAAACAAAATGTGAGGATATAGCTCAGTCTCCAGAAAAATATCCAGAAAGAAGTTGACATCCATCTGATTCCCAATTCTGTGATTCACCCCAAAGGCTCAGCCTTACTGCTTTAAATCTGATTAAAATGAGTAGAAAATTTTCCACTTTGAGGTGAAATAATTAGCCTCTATTGCTTCTAAAGGAGACAAATTTCTGTTCACTGCTTTTGTAAAAATAACTAGGCACAATTGTGCTTTCCTCTCCAATTCCTGTTTGGTATGAATGCTCAGGACATACCAGGCTGGTTTTCTTCACTAAAACTAAGGCTTGCCTCCCTAGTTTATATACATATTTATCCTACTTATCCAAAGAAGATGAAATCAAACCTTCCGCATTTTGTTTCCTGAAGAAAATGAGTATCATTTAATAATTCCTGACCTGGGGGTGGGCAGGATGGGTACTGTATCCAAAAGAAAACCGAGATATTGCCTTAGAAAGATGAAGCCTATTTCATAAAGTTCCTCAAGTAATGTTGCTGGGAGCTATGAGTCAAATACAACTCCTAAAGCAGTCACAGTCCTTAGAAGAAATAATAACAGCTGTCAGGGTAATCTTTTAAGAGGAAGCATGCAAAATAAGTAGATCACGATGGCAAAACAAATAATAACAGCTGTCAGGGTAATCTTTTAAGAGGAAGCAAGCAAAATAAGTAGATCACGATGGCAAAACAAATAGAGAAAAAGAATCTCTGGAATTTGGACTCTGGCAAAAAAAAAAAAATGGAACAGGTGGCTGGATGGAAGTGAGAATACGCCAAACCTTGCTTATTGGGGCCTAACATACTACCCTAAGGAAATATTCTTGCATAAATCCTAATAAAGCAGGAAGTATTATATTAAAGCAAGGTAGGGGGTTGGACTAGAAGACCTCCAAGGTCCCTCCCAGCTATATTCTATTCTGTTCTGTTCTATTCTATTCTATTCCATTCCGGAATGTAGTGCAACAAACAGGGAGTAATAGTTTTGGATGAGCCACACAAGTCAACATAAAAAAGGATATATGAAGCAAAGCAAGGAGACAAACCACAAAACATTCACATTATATAACAAAACTAAAAGAACCTTTTTAATTATTGTTTCCCAGAATCTTTTATTGCTTTTTTTTTTTTTTTGTGGAGCACATTTGAAGACTGAAGTCTCTTGTCTGAGTAGAAAGCAATGAAGTAAGAAAGGATCAACTGGATGATATACAACGCAAAGTTTGATAAGCAGAGCTGAAGGATGGAAACAATGTTTTCCATTGTTTAGTCTAGGAGACGGTGTACAGTTCAAATGAAATATGCAGCTGATGAATAATACGAATTCATGAATATACTTTATTAGGAAGATACTTAATGTGCAATTTATCATCAACTCTTTTCCTTTCTCAAAAGTCCAATTTCCATAATGGTCAGATTTTACAAGGGAAGTCTTTGCACTTTCATTTTAGAAGCTGCCTTGAGAAAATGACATAACTCAGTAAAAAAAACCCTTTGATAATTGAATAACAAGCTTTCTTTCAAAGTGTTTAATGAAACACTTACCTGAAGGTAGATTATTAGCAGTTTGTATGCTAATTTAAAGTTGAAAAAGTATCTTCTGTGCAGTTTTAATAAAAGTGCTGCTTTATAAAAATGTAAATGCTGAACCACAATTGTAACCACATTTAGAAAAGGTCACTGACTATCCACGAGCCAGAAACGTGCATAGGATGTCTTATGTACCCATTAATTGCCAGGAAACCATCTGAAACCCTTTAGATAATGCATCACAGAGATCAGAAAAATAAGTCTGGAATCAGGAAGCACATCTTAGCCATTTGGAATTCCAGGAAGTCAAGTTAACGTACCATCGTCATCTGCGGCGTTCAGGGGGGTTGACTTCAGTGTGAAGATTTTTCGCAGTTTACAGTTGGCTGAAACAATAATGCCATCCAAAGACTGAAAAACAGCGCCTTTGAATATCTCACTGGTAAATGCCACCAAGTCAATGCACAAATTGCACCACTAAGAAGAAGAAAAAAAAGTTTAGAGAGATATTTGTAAAACTAATTTTCAATAAAATACACTGTATTTATTGCTTGGCTTATATGCCAGTCCGGTCTCATCTGCTTCTAAATAGCACCAAGGTACAGAGTTAGTACGTAATGGATTTGATATCATGCAAGAAAAAAAGAGGAAAATTCACTGGTATCTATGTAATTCAATTAAATTAAGTAATTTAATTTAAGTTGATGTCTTAGTTGTTCAAGTATTTTTTTAAAAGCTAATTATTTTGGAATTGATTATTTTTGGTGAAATTTGAGCTCATTTTCCTACAGCTGCTTACTACAAGGCCATTTTGAGATGGCTTACTATCAGGTTCTTAAAATCAACCAAGTTATGTGTGTAAGCTATGATATCTGAAATTCATTTATTCCAAATATGTCACGTGTCCTGCTCTGCAAAGTAATGGTAATTGTGGATCTAGAGCTAGAGGTTACATAATAATGTAGAAATTCTACATCAGTGAAATGTTATTTTAATAATTGGTTTGCCAACTCCTCCAATGAGGTTTTAAGGGACCATTTGGGTTCATTAATCATAATCCCCAAGGTAGTTTCCTAGATTACTATAAACATCTGTGTGCCATTGTTCTTACTGATGTGTTCTGCTGAAACTCCACTCAAAAGAGGCTAATTTTTCTATCATTTTTAAATAACCGGTCACGTCTAAAAGGGTCTGGTGATCGCTTATGCCAGTGATGGTGAACCTTTTAGAGACAGAGTACCCAAACCTGGCCCCGCCCCCATTCCACCCCCTGCCTCGCCCCCACCCCACCTGCCCACAGGGCCACTCACCACCTCCAGGGCCTGCCGCAGATGGCCCAGCAGCACCAAGGCAGCCATGCCCTCTGCCCGCGCCCCACAGCATCAACTGTGCATGATGGGATGTGAGGGCAGAATCTTGTCTATGCTGCCTGGCTGCCATGTCCTTGGCTGCGCTGCTCCGCACAGGCTACGCTCAGGGGCTACTCTCCTCTAGGGGGGCTACTGGTGAGGAGGGGGCCACGGGAGAAGGCAAGGCTGGGGCAACAGTACGTGTGTCCACAGAGAGGGCTCCGAGTGCCGCATCTAGCATGCGTGCCATAGGTTCGCCACCACTGGCTTATGCCATAGCTCCAAATGTTTCCAATAGATACATTGATGTATCAGTTGTTCCCAATTATCTTCGTCCTTGACTCAGAGAAAATGCAATGCCATCAGTGTTCTCTCAATGGCTATAATGGTTATAGGGATGGTCTGAATATATCTTTCCAGAATCTGCCAAAAATGATGAGGTCAAGCCAGTAATCAAATATATGAACATATGTATGAACTTAATACAATTCTTGGATTATCTGTTTTTTTTTCTGGGTAAGATTTCTCCTCAGGATGTAATTAAAACCAATTCTCCTTCAAGGTAAGACTGACTCTTGGTGACTTCGTGAACACATATATGTATTTTTCTTCTCACCAATGAACAAGTGGCTTGTCAATATCTACTTTTTGGTCCCCCCCCCAGTTTCTCAGTTTTACCTACAATTTTAGTTTTTCCTGGAGGTTTCCAATCCACAAGATTCAGCTGTACTTTGCTTTAAAGGAAGGGAACTAATTGTTTTAAGATAGATTTAGTTTTAGGTAGTTTTTAGGTATTATTCATACCATAATATTATTAGCAATAGCACTTAGACTTATATACTGCTTTGCAGTGCCTTTTTTGTAAAAAAAAAAAAAAGATGCCGGAACTCACACATGTCATACAACCCGCCTTGCGTACCCTACAAGGTTCCATTCAAAAAAGGTGCCGGAACTCCGTTCTGGGCGTTCTATGACAAAAAAAGCCCTGCTGCTTTGTAGTCCTTTACAGCCCTCTCTAAGCAGTTTACAGAGTCAGCTTATTACCCCCAACAAGCTAGGTCCTCATTTTATCGCCCTTGGAAGGATGAAAGGCTGAATCAACCTTGAGTCAGTCAGAATTATACTGCTGGCAGAATTAGGCTGCAATACTGCATTCTAAAGACTGCTCTTATGAAGGGTACATTAAGATAATAAAGATATTTTGCCCTTTGGCTGTACCCTCCCCACATATACTGACTTATTTATGAATTGATACCTTGACCAGTATCAGATCTTGTGTTTAACCTCTCATAAATGTGTTTCTATAAAATTGTTAAAAGTGCACAGGAAGGGAAAATTATATATATGGTACTCATTGTAGCCAGTGATTACTTTTCTTCTTCCTTCCTTCATCTAAAGCAGGGGTGTCAAACTTGCAACATCATATGACATGTCGCAACGTATCACAACTTTTTTCCATTGCTGACAATGGGATGGGTGTGGTTTCGTCATGATGCATTCGGCCCACGGGCTGGGAGTTTGACACCCCAGATCTAAAGGAATTAGATCACTTTATCACTTGAATTAGAAGGCCCTAATTTAGATTTTATATCATTTTTTGCATGGCAGTTTCACCCAGTCTTAAGCAATATTCCCAAATTGGAATGTTGGACATGGCAGTTGTGCACCTCCATGTGGTGATCCAGTTTTATTTGTGCAAGCCAGAATTCTATAAATGATCTGATTTTAAGGTGTATAGACAAACCTGGTTTAATGCCAGAACTCAGTTCTACTCCATTTGGGCACAACAACAGTTCTGATAGGGTCCTGGCATGGCATGTATAAAGACGAAAAGCAATGGAATAATGAATCCATTTGATGATGATGATGATGGTGGTGGTGGTGATGATGATGATAATAATAATAATGATGATGATGATGTTGGAAGGGAGTTTGGAAGTGATCTAGTCCAATCCCCTGCTCAGGCAGGAAACCCTATACCATTTCAGACAAATAGCTGTCCAGTCTCTTCTTAAAAACTTCCAGTGTTGGAGCATTCACAGCTTCTGGAGGCAGCTTATTCCACTGATTAATTGTTCTAACTGTCAGGAAATTTCTCCTTAGTTCTAGGTTGCTTCTCTCCTTGATTAATTTCCGTCCGTTGCTTCTTGTCCTGCCTTCAGACGCCTTGGAAAGTAGCTTGACTCCCTCTTCTTTGTGGCAGCCCCTGAGATATTGGAACACTGCTATCATGTCCCCCCTCATTCTTCTCTTCATTAAACTAGACATACTCAATTCCAGCAACCGTTCCTTATATGTTTTAGCCTCCAGTCCCCTAATCATCTTTGCTGCTCTTCTCTATACTCTTTCTAGAGTCTTGTATTAAACTGATACCTGGCACATTCACTAGGATCAATAAGAAGCTAATTTCTTCTATTCATAGGAGGCTCACATGTATTCTTTTCAGGTAGTCAAGTACCACAAATTTTGAAAACCCCAACCTAGAGTATGCTTTTATATTTTTTAAATCTGGCTTCTATAATTAATCAACATACTTACATTATAAGCTGCAGGAATCAAAACTGAAACAATTAATTTAATGTGTTTCAGAAGTACATTCCAATTTATTTTAGAGAAGTAAAATATAAGTTACAGTATTTACATTATATAATGTTTTATTCCACTGAGGATGTTTGTCCCCTATTATTAGTTTAATGAGGGGGGAAAGGGTTCCAGTAGCAAAAATCAATACATTTCTTGGAGCATTTTGTTTATTTGTTCGTTTCACTTTCCCCCTGGTTTTCAGAAACAGAACTATTAGGAGCACAGAAATTCATCTTCCTGGATCATTATTTATTATTGTCATTGCTTTAAACCTCAACAGATTTCACTGGCTGGGACCAAAATATATACAGGCAAGGACTAAAATGTTTGCTTTTGCTTTTTGAGTACAAAAAGGAAACTGTTATGAGTGAAATGAAGGGACATATTTATATTGTATAGGATTAATTCAGAACAAAATCTGCAGTAAAAATTAAAAACATAGCTAAATTAATTTCTGACTTCTAACTGACTGTAGAAAAGAGGTAAAAAAATTAGTCATTTTATTAATTTGATAACATTTCTAAGAGATGCATAAAACATACCAATTTCAATTTTTAAAAAACAAAGAGCTATTCTTATTCCTGGATTATTTTTTCTTTAAGAAAACAATATCCCCAAATTACCTCTGCAAGAAAACACTGCATATGTAAATATGACACACATATTCATATTTGATTTGCGTATAATAATAATAATAATAATTGTTGGAAGGGACGTTGAAGGTTATCTAGTCCAACCCCCTGTTCAGGCAGGAAATCCTACACCATTTCAGACAAATGGTTGTCCAATCTTTTCTTAAAACCTCCAGTGTTGGAGCATTCATTGCTTCTGTTCCACTGGTTAATTGTTCTGTCAGGAAGTTTCTCCTTAGTTCTAGGTTGCTTCTCTCCTTGATTAGTTTCCATCTGTTGCTTCTTGTCCTGCCTTCAGGCGCTTTGGAAAATAGCTTGACTCCCTCTTCTTTGTGGCAGCCCCTGAGATATTGGAACACTGCTATCATGTCCCCCCTCGTCCTTCTCTTCATTAAACTATCCAAAAAACATGATATCTGAATATCCGGATATCCAAAAACATGGATACCATCAACAAGGGATATGATAATTAATGACATAATGGAACCTTGTAGGGTAGGCAAGGATGCATAATGCATCCAAGACAAACTGACCCCAATGGAAGTGATGTTATAAACCTGTTGTGGTCCTGTGATGTTTCATTCAGTAACTGTGCTGCTTAGCAACCAAGTTGCTGGACCAACTGCAGTCATGAAGTAAGTACTAGCTGTTTTTACTACAGATTGCTTGAATGAAATGAAATGCATGATTTAGATAGATAGATAGATACATAACCTTTATTGTCTTTTTTTTTTTACTGTGGGCACAACGGCACACATCAAATGAGATTTAGTTTCCCATTCTCAAACTGAAACACATACATAACACACCCTAAAAACATACTTTATACAGCATATAAAGTAAATAAAAAACATACTTTATACAGCATATAAAGTAAATAAAAAACATACTTTATACAACATTTTTTTGTAAAAAAAAAAGCTGCTGGAACTCACACACGTTATACAACCGACCTTGCCTACCCTACAAGGTTCCATCCCAAAAAGGTGCCGGAACTCCGTTCTGGGTGTTCTATGACAAAAAAAGCCCTGAACATATGTACAGACCAGGGGTAGGCAACCTTGGCTCTTTTATGACTTGTGGACTGGCTCAGGAATTCTGGGAGTTGAAGTCCACGAGTCATAAAAGAGCCAAGGTTGCCTACCCCTGGTATAGACCCACACTCCTACATATTTCCAGGATATCTTAATTTTGTAAATTAAATCTGAAGCTTATTTCTCTATATACATGAATCTAAAAACTCTATTTGGTTTCCCTTACCCCCCCCTCCACCAAAGTTCACATAGAAATCTGGAATCATTCTTAGGAATGCACTAGTTCTAGCTGGAATTAATTGCCAGTGATGTAATTGCAGAGATAACCAAATCGTCATAGTGCAGGATCATTTCTCCTAATTCTCATAATATTTGGCATACTTTGTTCTATGTCAGTGGTGGCAAACCTATGGCACGGGTGCCAGAGGCGGCACTTGGAGCCCTCTCTGTGGGCACACACACTGTCCCACCTCTGCCCCCTCCTCACCAGCAGTCCTCTGGAGGAGAGTCACCCCTGGGCACGGCCCACACAATGCTGCACAGCCAAGGACATGGTAGCCTGGCAGAGGGGACAAGACTCCACCCTTACACCCCATCGCACGCAGATGATGCTGCCGGGCACAGGCAGAGCGTGTGGCTACCATGGCACTGCTGGGCTGCCTGGGTGATCTGTGGTGGGCCATGGAGGTGATGGGTGATCCAGCAGGCACGGCGGAGTGGGGACAGTGGTGGAGGATGATTTTTGGGTACTCGGTCTCTAAAAGGTTCGCCATCACTGTTCTATGTTTTTTATTTAATTTCTATCACATCTTTTTACTTAAATCAAGCAGTTAAGGTGTTATGCACACAGAATTAATAACAAAGCATTATTGTAATGCCTGGTTCTCATTCACTGATTTGGTTTACTCATTCACTGTTTTGGTTCTCATTCATTGAATAGGAATCGGCAGAAGAAACAGCATCTGGAAATTGTCAGTATGATTCATGTCAGTATGATTGTATGATTCATGACTGATCTCGTGTTCCACGAATCTACTTAATCTTCATGCCACAGAAGTGTCTAATGATGATCCAGTTTGTACTACATTGTGTGCATTGCTGTCCTATTAATTCTGAAGAAATATGTGAAATTAACCAGAAAGACAATTTCTTGTCATCCTGATATGCTGGGATCACTGGTAGGAATGACCAAATATTTAAGCATTGCAATGGAAAGTAGAAGAGAATCATACATGATAATAATCATTTGAACAAGGAAGGAAATATACTTACAATTTTGCGTTTGATCATAAAGAGAGGGATTTTTGCATGCAGAGGGGTTACAGACAATTCTTTGTGAATCGTCGATAAATACAATCTTCTTTTAATATTTCCTAAATCAGTTATCCTGCAAGAGAAAAAAGGTGAGAAGGAGACGGCAGAAATTGATCTCCATCAATTCAAAAATCTTTCTCTCTGGGCAGCCACAGAAAACCATCATTCACATGTAAAAGCTTTATATCAAGGACAGCAAATGGAGAAGTTAAATATTATCCTTCTACAAGATAAGTAATGAGATTTCTCTCTCAAATTCAGAGTCGCTTCAAGCTGAATACATAAAATCACTTTACATGTTAATTTTATTTCAACGCTATGCACTCTTCACTTGATTTCCATAGCATTTCAAAGTTACGAAAGAATTCAATTTACATGAATTGAGAAACCACAAGCCTTCAATAATCATGTTTTTTTCCCTCAGCTCCCTTCAGCCTGTGTAATCTTGGAAAATGCTATTGCATCTCTAAAAAGGAAAATCATTATATCTTTTCATTTTCTAAAAACGCATCTGTAATATCATATGGGCTTTGTTTAAAAATAGATCCAAAACATTAACATGTCAGCTTCCTCTTCTGATCCCCTACTTCCAAGCATGAAACCCACATGCTTACTGCCATTTAAGCTGTTCTCCAATAATGCTTGAGAAACTATATCTGAACATCACTAACAGGCTACAGTCAGAGTTTTGTCTCCTAATACGCTGTTTCCTGTTTCCAAAAATTTCAAACTAGCTAAATTTCTAATTTCATAACTGAAAAATTTTATTCTACCAGAATGTAAAGTTTTAGACTTATAAGTTTACTAAGTTCCCTTTTTCATCATGTTAGCAATTTCTATTGCTTGCTTTTTTCCTTCTGATAAACAGACAAGTCTTAGCAATCAGAATATTTTCCTTTATCTAAGCTAAAAGTGCTGTTTCTTAGTCTAAAAGTTACCAGTTGGTAGGTAGCAGTATTCTTGGGACAGCTTATTGGAAAAATAGAAGAAGTAGTTAGAAAAATAATCCTTTAAATGCATGGCACAACATAGGAGAACAAGCAAAGTCCACATTCTGGACAGAAAGGATCGCTGGTTTGAAAGAAGGGTCAAAGAGGCCATCTTCATTAAGATTGAACAATCCTCTCTCAACAGAGGGGAAAAGCTATGACACCACTATCTCCTGTTTACAACACTCCTTTCAGCAGTTCCAAGAAGGCTCCACACCCATTTGCACTATTCAGATGACCCTGCGAGCACAGATAAACCTCCAAGTGGCCTCAATGACTCTCAGAAAGAGTGCTAACGACTAGATGACTGTAAGGAATATAAATCCTTCCATTGTCCTCCATTCAGTCAGAACTAAAGAAGCTTCTTGGATGAGAAGTGAAACGTCTTCAAAGAAAAATAAAGGAAGTCCAGTTGCCTTTTGAAAAAGCACCTTTGGGACAACCATGACCTGGATGACTGAGAATCTCCACAGACAATCCTTTAAGCAGGAGTGAGAGCCAATGTAGCCAATGAAGACTCCCATGCAATGAAATTTTGAGGAGAAAAAAGCAAAATGGAGCAAGCCAATGGAATAATTAGAATGTAGACACATCTAATCTACCAGGTTAATGGAGATGAACAAGTTTCATTACAAGAGAAATGTGTTGGCTCCCTAGTCCTCCCTAGATGTAATAAGACCTTTGATGAAGATTCAGGAAAACTGTAAAATCAGATTTCATTCCCCCCACAAATAGTATGAACCAACTAGCTTCAGAGCTCCAAGTGCATCTCAATGGTGTGATTATGTGAATCCATTTTCTTTGAGATTTCAGCTGGGATATCGTATTGAAGCTACTTTGATTGCCTTAATGAATGACTTAATCCAAAAACTATGAGGTGACTCTGCCAGGCAGCTTCTGATATCATTGATGTTGGTATCTTTCTGGACTGTTTAATAGTCTTATCAGGAAGTGGTCTTTTGGATAAGAAACTGGGGTCTGGATGTTTGGTAAAGTGCCCTGCAAGGTTTATGGCAAAGTCATAAAATGGGGCAAAATTCACTTCTCAATAGAAACTGACAGTAATTAATACCTCCAATCACTACTACTCTATGCTTCTTTGGAAGATCTGCAGTTTCCTTTTGGAAAGCCTGATTCTGTATAGGAATTTGGAGATAACCTTAACAAAGATATATAAATACCCTTAGAAACAGGAAAGTGTGAAAAATAAACACAGAACAACCTTGCCTTGTCCAATTCGGTATAAATAAGGGCAAAGGGACACTCTGATAGGTTTTCAATATTCTGTCATTACACCCTATAACAGTGGTTCTCAACCTGTGGGTCAGGACCCCATTTGGGGTCGAACGACCATTTCACGGGGGTCACCAAACAAGGCTGTCCGCCATTTTCCCCCCTTTTCTTTGGCCATGCCCTGGCACCCACTGATATATAAGTGGTTGGGGGTCACCACACCATGGGGAACTGTATTATGGGGTCGCGGCATTAGAAAGGTTGAGAACCACTGCCCTATAACAATAGAGTAGTGTCCCTGTGGTGTTTGCAGTGTCTGTTTCCTGAACACGCCTACCTCTCAGGGGAAATACATTCATATCTTCTGTTTTGTTAGGTAGACGATAGTATACAACTACATTGTTGATTCTGCGAACTCCACGTGGCAACAGGGAAGTTATCTGCTCAGCTCCATCCAGCTGCCCAGACTCTACCCCAAACTAAGGGATTACAAGGTCGTAAAAAGGGAGTGATTTAAGACGGATGCATTCTATAGCATCAAGTTCATTCATTTGGATTACTGAGCAGGTATATGTATTTCTGACATAGAATGCAACATGTTTCCCTTCTATTGCTTAATTTATTCCTTGTGAATAAATTATATCCTTCAACTGCTTTATTTTAATTAAGGAAGACATGTGACCAGATTTATTAAACCATAATTGTCTCTCTGAACTTGGAGTTCATGTTAATCTTCTCATGCTCTGAACATGAGTAGATAATGAAGACCATGCCAAAACTGTTCCCATTTTTTCAATGCTTGGCCAAGTAGCCCCATTTTACCAATATACTCACATGCTTCACCTAGATATATTTTATCAGTCTTTGTGATCATGGTTGCTAATGCTACTTTTATTATACGCTTACAGTAACAGAATCTTGCAAGTCTGAATGAACCTCCCCACTGCTTTCATTTTTATCAGAAGCAGGAATGGTCTCATCTGAGATGCTTACTTGGCTTACATATCTGTATGCTTCTTTTATCTGTTGTCTTGGCTGGGTTGCTTCCCCTGTTCTTCAATATCACTCCTTCTGTCCCTTACAATTGCCTTTTTGTTTTCTTCCTCGTAAGACTGTACCATTTTTTTTTACAAGGACATGAAAACTGTTTTTGTGTACCAGTGATGCAAAATATCTTCAACATCTCTTGCTTCAAATATTCATATTCATTCACTGGCCTTCTCTTCCTTCTGGAGAGCCAATATTTCTAGCAATTTGATGTACAATATCCTATTTTACTTCTTTTTCATTGGGGGAGGCGAAGTTTTTTGAATATTCAGTATTTTATTCTTTTTTTGAAGGACCACTACAATCATGGTTTCTGCAAAGGCATGATAAATTGTTTTCAGATAGGATCACACACATGCCACAAAATTGTGGATCAAAACTGCAGGTTCCTGCCCATCTTTTCTTTTGTTTCCTAAGGTCATGAATAATGTTTTTGAATGCCAATGGTACAAATTATCTTTAACATCTCTTGTTTCAAGTATTGGAGTTTTGGATTTCATTAGAATTTTTTGAGCATATTTAACATTTTGAGATCAGCTGAAGACTTTCATTTTTTTTTCTTCTTTTTTTCCCAAGACCACAGGGTATATATATATATTTCATTTAAACTAAAAATGTGTTGGGGTCTCCCCTTTCCAATTCCCCTTTAAAATCCAAAGTTTATTGAATCAAATGGGTAAGGCTACAAGGACAGTGCCACAGCCACAGGGAGGGGGGGTGTTCATCCTATCCCATAACCATTGGTGATAGCAATTAAAATCCTCAAAAATAACTCTACATGTCCCCCAACTCCATTGCATAATATACTTCCATCGGTGCTCCAGAAAAGCTCAGGATCGCAGCCGGCCACTGTTCGCATAGTCCCACCTGTCATCCCGTGCCAAGTGTCCACTGTTTAATGTTGCTTTCGCCAGAAAGAGTGTCCTTCTGTCAACCTTGCCTTTGCACCAGTGGGTTGGCACAGCACAGTTGAGCTGCCGACACACAACACAACTGTCTGGGCGTGACTGAAAACCGTGGTGATTTTTTTTTAAAAGAAATTTTATTGTTTTTTTTAGTTTTTAAAACAAAGTGGTCAAGACACACTGTGGTGTTAGGGTAGACAAACATCCAAAGACAAAACATATATATATATAATTCAATCAATACATCTAATATTCCCTCTCTTTTCCCCTTAGGTAACCTAATTTATTTAAAATAGTCCAATTCTAGCTTAAGTTTATTCAATCTATACCTGTTTTTAAAGCTTTAGAAATTTACACTACCATAATTAAATTAACTTTGAGTACAAACATTATCAATTCGGGTATCCCTTCCAAATATATTCTGGTTCCTTGATTTTATCATAAATCTTATTTAATTCTTCTTCCACTAATATCCCTTAGTTAAAATAAAATATTAATCTATCCTATACGTATCTAGTCCATCAATTAATCAATCTCTTTAAGCTGACAGAAGAAAATCAGACCTTAAGTCATTTCAATCCATCCAATTAATTGTCATAACTAATAACATCCGTGTTATCAAACAAACAGATCATCTTATTAGATTAACTCAACATTACATAATAATTTTCTTACAAGTAACCCTATCATCCTAAAAAAGAAAAAAAAACCACACTCTTAATCAATTTAATATATATTCCATTAATCACCCCCCTTTCTCTTATTTCTAACTCATAGTCTTAATCCTAAAATCAACCCATAATTCTAGATTACCTTTAATCCATTACCTAAAAATATCTCCTTTTTAAAGCTAAAATATTGATCTATCCTAGACCTATCTAATCCATCAATCAATTTCT